CAAGTTGTTTACTTTGTCCATAGAGCAGTGGCTGCACTCAGAGGAAATGCCTCTTAGAAAAACCATCCTGTGCTTCATCCCTGCCAGAATTGAAAACAATTCCACGTGTTTTCAGTCAAACTCATGGCAAAAGGTGTCAGGAACTAAAGATGTCTCTGCGTTGGAAATACAAGGGGGAGTCAAGAAGCATTGCTATCAAACCACAGAAACCTTCATTAAACCAAAAAATACCCAAATGTGAAGCTGTGACTTCTCGACATATCCTCCACCTGGGTCTAGGAAGGTGTTTCCATATTTCTAACCTTCCCCAAAGAATTCTGTGCTCTTTGATTTACGCAATGTCAGACAGCAGTTTGGGCATCCTGGAGGGACTTCAAAGTATGTTCCTAAAGGGCAAGGTCAGGGCTGGAGGGTGGATGGGGTAAGATTTCCACACAAAATTCTTGTAGAACAGTCCTTGCTACCTTCAAAAAATGAACAGGAACATGGTCGTGATGGAAGAATACGGCTTTTTTTTTTTTTTGGGGGGGGAGAATACTTCTTGACACAACTTTTCTGGCCCTTTTTCTCACCAATGTACTTGTTAATTTCTTCAAGTGTCTTCAGAATAACCCTCTGTGATCATCCTGTGTCCTTTGAGAAAATCTATCAAGATGATTCCTTGGAATCCTAAAAACAGTTGCCATGAACCTTTGAGCTGACCTCTCTGCCTTGAATTAGTCTAGAAGATCCCAGTGGAAGCTACTGTTTTGACTGGACTTTTGGTTATTTATTTTTAAACACACCCTAACAAGAGCATGGTGGCACTGTAGGATAAGCACTGGACTTTGAACCACAAGGTTGGCAGTTTGAGTCCACCAGCTGTTCCTTGGGAGAAAGATGAGGCTTTCTGCTTCTGCAAAGACTTACAGTCTGGGAAACACTACACAGAGTCACTATGAGTTGAAATCTGCTTGACTGCACACAACAATTAGACTAAGAGAGAGAACTTGTTTGCAGCCACTCACTGATTTCAGAGACCTGTTTAAACACATTTTGTTTGGAAGAAATCTATGCATGTATGAACTGTAGTAGCAAGATGTTTGACTTACCTTCACACAGCAGAGTTTGGAAAATTGTGGGGAACTGAGAAAAAGAAATTTTTATTGATTTTGTTGTTGAGAATGTACATAGAATACACACCAATTCAACAGTTTCTATGTGACGTTGATTATATTCTTCAGGTTGTGCAAACATTCTGACTTTCCTTTTCTGGGTTCATCCTCCTCTAACACAAACTCACTGCCCCCAAAGGTTCCCATCTCATTTTTCAAGTTGCTGTTGTCAATTTGACCCTATGTCAGTAGTTCTTAAAAGAAACACAATGCTCAAGGAGACATTCAAGGCAGACTATTGTCCGGTCTTAGGAAGACTTCAGGGGATAGTTTCGGTTTAAGATTTAAAGGTCATCTCAAGGGTTCATCCAGTATCCATGACTCCAGAAAGTCTGGATTCCATGAGAATTTGAAATTCTGTTCTTTCGCTCCCTTGTGATCAGAATTCTTATATGGAATCTTTGATCAAAGCATTCAGTCATGGTTGCTGGGCACCATCTATCTCTTCTGGTCTCATGTAGTGGTTCATGGAAGCAGTTAGCCACATTCCACTTCCTCCTCCTATTCCTGACTCTCCTTCTTTCTCTTGCTCCAGGAGAAGAGAGACCTTTTTTGTGCCTTGGATCAGTGGTGTCTCTAGGAGGCTGGAGGTGGGAGAGTGATACCAAAATGAATGTCTATAAAATGGTTGTGCCATGTTTCAGCAGAAACTTATTATTTTTCATAAATATCTCTATAGTTAAAGAACTCTAATAGCGTAGTGGTTACGAATTGGGCTGTGAACCTCAAGGTCAGCAGTTCGAAACTACCAGCTGTTCCATGGGAGAAAGATGAGGCTTTCTGCTCCTGTTAAGATTTACAACCTCAGAAACCCTGTGCAAGGTGGCTATGAGTCGGAACCGACTCCATGGCACATCATCAACAACAATCTCTATAGTTAATTCTGGTGTGGTGCTGTAGGATACACACTGGACTGAAAAGTCATTTGAACCGCAAGATCAACGGTTCAAACTCACCAGCTGCTCCTCGGAATCTTTATATAGGGTCACTATAAGTTGGAACCGACTTGACGGCACTTAACAAAAATACCATAGTTCTAACAACAGAAGTTATATTTTTTCTAAGTCCAGTTTACTTGGTTTAATATATTACAAGGCTAAAATGCTATGTAAACTTACTTCATAGTTTGGGTGAAATCTTACAGAGCAAGTTAAGCTTTCCATTCAGCGATAGACACACTTTGTTGCGCAGTATTAGCTGCCGTTGCTGTTCGCGCTCAACTTCCTTCCCCCGGGCTCCCCGGTTTCCGTGTCCTTCTTTCCAGCACCTTCCTGTCTTCTCAGCTTTGTTTCTGGGCAAGTGCTACCCTGTTAGTCTCGTATGGCTAAGGGCCCTGAGGAGTCCGTTCCTCCTTGGCGGTATTATTCACTTTATAGGCGGGTTGTTTGGTTGGAAGTTGATCCCTGGGGGGTGAGTTCAGTTCCAGGCTTAAAGGGTGTCTCAGGACCACAATCTTATTATGTTTCCACAAACCTTCTGAATGAAGCCCCTCTTATATCTGTGGAGCCCTGGTGGCACGTGTATGTTTCCATAGAGATTACAGCCCGGGGAAACTCTTTGGGGCATCTATATTTTTGATATTTGCCATATACAATTTTACAGCTTGTTTTCTTTCATTTTGCACAATTATGATACTAGATATTAAGTGACATGATTCTTTCTCTACAAAAGAACCAATTTATCCCATTTGTAAACTCTAAGGTCTTGTGGAAAAGAGGGGGATGTGGGTTTAGAGTAAGATCTGAAGACCAACAGAGAATGTGTATATATCTATATATACTCCTGAGATGACGCTATACGATCAGCACTGGACTGTGACCCACACATTCACAGTGGTGAATCTAACCCACCAACTCCTCCTTGGAACCCTATACAGGGTCTGAGATGGAACTGACTCCATGGCACTGAGCCACCACCACCTCCATCTGGAGAGCTGTAGGTTGGAGTCTTCTTTAGTCAGCAGTAAAGAATCCATACTGCTGCTACTCAGGCCAGCACCATGTGTAAACACCGGACACCCTGAAGGTAAGGGGGTAGTGGCTGAGAACAGAGACCCCCTCAACACACACAGTTGTGCTGTGACTGTGCACAGGGACACCGGCACACTCCCGACACCAGCCACATACCCTAACTGGAGAAATGAGGAAAGGATGTGAAAACAATAGGAAATGAAAACGAAACCTGCAGACTAGGCTTAAACAATTAGTCACTTAATTGAGACTTTGGAAAATTACCACCAAAATGCACTGCCACAGGTTTTTATTATTATTATTACTCTTTATTTAGTTTACAGAAAGAACCTCTCTAAGTACAAGTTGCAGGAGGGAAGATGTTTAGTGCTATTTACATTTGCTTTAAAAGTCTGCTCTATACAAATTTAATTCGGATCAGTATGAACAGTATCTTCGTAGATCTACTGCATTTTATAAAGCCTTTCCATCAAAGCCTTAACAGTGAGTAAAATAACTTGATTATAAGGAAAACAAAGATGGCCATTTGGAACATTCATGTTTGTGAAGACCAACGCACCTACTGAAGCTCAGAACATAATGTCAGCCTGGGACCTCATTTGTATAAAGGCTAAAGTTATTTATACGGAATATTGTTCTATATACTACACGCCAATCTATCTTTAAATTCTATAGTTAGGCATTTTATAAGTTTTTTTTATTAAATATATTCTACACATATTTGTAATTTCACTCAGGAATTTCTTCCTAGTTGAAAAAAATATAAAAATCTTTTATATTTTTTTTTACAGGCTTAGATGAAACTAGCTCATGCTTTAGTGCTGTGCAAATTGTTTTTTAGCATACCCATTTAAAAATAATTGGTACAAAACAAAAGGAATAATGTCCTAAATCATGTATACCTTATGAGGAAAAAATATTTTTTAAATCAGTGTTTGATTTGAATACAATTGCAAGCACTAATACCCAATGCAAACAATACAGAGAAACAAAATTAGTACTATGGAGATTTTTTTCCCCCCGTAATTTTTCAAGAATTCATTTGAACGCTAATGAGTAAGCATGACGCTGGAACTGTTAAGAGATGAGCAGTAATTACGGAAAACAATTCAATCTACTGATATATTCCAACACATGAACTCGTCCAGCCGCTGAGGTGTTGGGAGGCAGGTGTACAATCTTGATGATTCTGGTGGGAGCGGCTGGTACTCCCCTTCCCGGATTAAGGCAAGGAGACGCGCGCTCGTCTTGGTGTGCAGTGCGCATGAGCACTCGGTTTCCGCGTACTTGGGCGCATGTAGTCGGAGAGACCAGGGCTTTCGTCTACCCTCCGCTGCGTGCTTCAGACAGGCACGTTCTGTTTGTCTGTTTGTCTGTTTGCTCTGGTGTCTGTTTAGCATCCTGTGCTCAGGTTGACTACCATTGCCCCTTCGCGGGCGAGCCCAGTCCTTCACTGGGGTATCTGCCGAGCATCTTCCCGTGGGGACTGTATCTGGGGGTGTTTCTAGGTGCCCTCGGCCGGGTTATCAATCTTGTGGATGCGGCACATCGGGCCAATTGTTTGGTGGTTGTTTTGTTGTTGTGTGTTTTTTAGGGCAAATGGTATTTAGAACTCTTGATTTGTAACGTTCTGGGCATGAACTTTTTGGTGTGCGTGTGGCCCCAAAATGGTTTCTGCTCCGGAAGGTTGGTTGTTTTCTTTACTGCATTCAAAACCCAATGCATTGAAGACTGCTCAATACAGACAAAAATACCAGAAACTAAAAAAAAAAACACAAAAACCCCAACAAAAACCAGAGTGAAAAGTGTCCTTGGTTCTTGTGACTGTCACGGCTGGTGGGCTAGTTGAGTCCCGCCCCCTCAGCTGACCCCGCCTTCACAGGATGATACAGCAGTTACTCTCACCGGTCTTTTCACGGTTCCTTTGACCTGGGGTGGAGAGAATGCAATTTCAGTCTGTTTTCAAGAAGCGCTACTCATCAAAAGGACGAGCATTTCTTTACCCTGAAAGCCCACAGCATCCTTGACCGCCTGCTTCTGGGATGCAGTGGTGACTGTCCCTGAGCCCGTCTTACCTTGAGAGTTTGGCTCCGGCAATGTCTCTCTGGCCACCAAATGCATCACGGTTGTTTTGCCAAAGGGCAGTTTTAATGCTGCGGGAAAAGTAGAAAACACGAAGTCACCTACCCTGAGACCTCCCATTGACCCGTTTACACACAGGCGGCTTTCTGGCAGCTTTTCTCACGCTGCACACTACTCAGCGGACTGAACGTCTCCAATAGGAAGTGAAATTCCATAAACATTTCCAGAAGCAGCCTAGGGGGGAGGGTAGCCTCAAAGTGGAAACAGTGGTATTAAACGATCGTGGATTTTCCACCCGCTTTTTGAAGCCTCCTTGTACAATTCAAATAACGGTTCTCTCCAGCTTTGACTATTGGCTTGATACGGTATGTACAGACTCATTGTTTAAGGAACAAGATAAGAGAAAATATGTAACTGATTAGTAACAGAAATAACTTTTAGGGGAGAAAAGAAAAACAAAAACATGTGATGTTTCTTTTTTTTTTTTTTTAAAGAAATCTTTTTCTAGCTAGACTAAGGGTAAGTTTACATTGGGTGCTATTTTGTTTATGTAATGCAGACACAGACCAAATGACAAATGTAATTTTTAATACTCTTTAACATTCTTTGACTATAAATGTTTTCAAAAAGGTTAGTCTTGGCATTATTAAAAATCATTGTTTCTTAATCAAGATTTTGATTTGTTTTGTTTTTAAACTCATGTTAAAACAAAAATTATTACAACATACAAGTAAGTTTCAAAAAGTTCCTGGGAAAATTCCATTATTTTAAAATTCCATTTCCCCCTGAAGTATTTGAAGTCTCCTTGTATTCAGACATGGAGAAAATAATTTAACAAAAATCTATGTATTCATCCATGAGCCACAAAAGCATATACGGACATCAAGTCTCCTGGCAAATCCCTTTGTTGGGCTGTGTTTAATTAGCAGCAGCTGGCAGACCGACTTCAGGCGCTGTGTCCCCTGGATAACGTTTGACCTTGGACACCCCAGTCCACGTGCTCTTCACGCTCTACAAACTGGCGGTGGAATACTATTGGCAGGGATGAGCCTCCTACTTCAATTTACAGGGTAGAATTCAAAACAAAACCAGCCTGAATTATAATCAAGATTATTAATACCTCAGGTCATCAAGGCGAGCTTCATTTTATTTACAGTCCAAAAGCCATAATTTGGTCTAGTCTCTTGACCTCTACAGTTCCAATGGAAGCAAGATGGCCCCAGAACACCCTAAGTGTACACTCCCACCCACTGCTGGCAAGCTGATCCCTGAGTAGTGTCACTGAGAGACCCTATCTAGGGTCTCCAAGACTAAATCTTTATGGGAGCAGCCAGCCTCTTCGTTCTCCCTGAACGGCTGGTAAGAGTGAAATGCCAACTTTGTGGTTAGCAGTCCTTCTCCTACAGTGCCACCCAGGACTCCTCCGAATCCCACCAAGAGGTAGAAAAGCACCAGAAACAAAATACAGCTCTGTTGGAATGGCTGATAGCTTAGGGTGGACAAAAGTGCTTTCCAGAGCAGTTATAACCCTCCAGGGCTTGCCCCACTGACTGGATAGGGCTCATCACTTACATACATCCACTCTCTAGCCCTTATGATCCAGTGTCTGCTGAGTGGACTCTGGCTGCGTAATGCTAGAGCAAGGAGCTCTGGTAATGTAGTGGTTACGAGTCGGGCTGCTGACCTTAAGGTCGCCAGTTTGAAACTACGAGCCATTCTGCAGGAGAAAGATGAGGTTCCTGTAAAGATTTATAGCTTTGGAACCCTATACAGGGTCGCTATGAGTCGGAATGGACTCCATGGCACATAGCCACTACCACCACCAATGCTAGAACACCTTGAAGAGATTCTGTTTCATTCAACCCTGTATCCCCAAGGGTTGGCAAATGGGAACAACTCAATAAATACACGATGAATGGATAAATAAAAACATTGCATCTTTAAGGAAAAACAGACTGACTACTTCACTGTCAGGTTTAGAAAGAAAAAAACACGGTATTATATTGCAAATGTCTAATTATCTGCGTATATTTCAAATATGGATGCCAACCCCATTCAAAACCACGTTCCATAAGGGGGCACCACTGAGCTTCATGTCTCCAATCATAACTGGTGCTTCCCTTGTGGACAGCACGGTTGGTTCCAAGCGTGGCCCTGGCGGTGCAGCCACTCAAAGTCCAACTACTAGTTTGAGGGCTGTGGTTCCAACACAGCAGTTGCTCTGCAGAAGACAGTCATGGCTCTCTGCTTCTGTAGTGATTTATAACTTTGGAAATCCTTTGGACAGTCCTACTCTATCCTATGGAGTCTTGGTGTGGCGCTGTGGGTTAATGCACTGGACTACACAAGGTTGGTGGTTCAAGCTCACCAGCTGTTCCTCAGAAACCCTATACAGGTCGCTATAAGTCAGACCAACTTGAGGGCACTTAACAACAATCCTGTCCTATAGGATCGCTATGACTTGGAATCAATTCATTAGCAAATGGTTTTGTTTTTGGAAACACTAAGTCCTTGGAATATACAAACAACCCTTCCAACCTAAGAGGTGGGTGGCCAGTGTTACCCCATTTTATTGTTGAGGATATTGGGGCACAGAATGGTTACATAACCTGCCTCAGGTTACACAACCCACAAGTGGGGGCGCTAGATACTCCAGAGCCCTCTTCCATCACTGCACTATAAACGGACCTCTAACTGGCTGCCGGGGAGTCCATCCTGACTCACGGTGACCTCATCAATTCCAAGTTTGCCATCTTTACAGGAGGAGACAGCCCCATCTTTCTCCCTAGGGTAGCTAGCTGGTGGGTTTGAACCACCGACCTTTCAGTGAACAGTTGAACGCTGCAACCTCTACACCATCAGATCTCCCACTACACTCGACTGCCTCTCTGACTTCAGTCATTTGCTGTTATTGTCACATGGTTAGCAGTTGTATCAGTTAGGGTCAAGCAAAAATATTCATTTATTCCTCGATTTGAAAACCAATTATAAGCCTTCTCAGGTTTGTGTGCACGAGTTTAGCTTAGAAATAATACATTAAAATTACATTATCCAGAAGAAAAGTGAAACACTGGTAAAGTAATAGGCATGGGCGCTCACCTGTAACGGGACAGAATTTATTTTGTAAGGTATGAATGCCCTACCTTAGTTACTAAAATTGAATTTAACAGAATACAAAATGTAAAACTCAAAACCAAACCCATGGCCCTGAGTCGCTTCTGATACCCAGAGACTCCCAGAACCGAGAACAACTGCCCCATAGGGGTTCCCAGGCTGCGAATCCATAAGGACCACAGACTGCCTCATCTTTCTCCCAGGGAAGCAGCTCAATGCTTGCAACCACTATGCCACCAGGCTCTTCACTAAATGCCGAGGTGTAGGCAAAGCAAAGACCCGGTGGGCAGAATTCACACTGAACATTAGGACTTTGTAGCTCTTTAGTACAATGAAAAGCATCTACATTAAGGAAAGAAAGAGTACCATCAGCAAACAGACATTCAACTCCAGGACAAAGGTGACTGTTACCTCCTAGTGTGACATTTCCGTGTAGAAACCGTCCTTGATAAATAAGCCGGAGGATATTTGGACTGCTGACTTGTTCCTCTTCCCAGTCTGAAAAGAATCCAGTGAGCTGGTCAGGTGCATTTCAACACACAATTAAGGAACTACCACTCTGCTTTACAAATTCAGCTCCCCGCCAGCCAGAGTGCTGACAAAGACACCACTGGGAACGTCCGAATAACCGAGACATCTCTACACATACATTCACTGCAGCCTTGCTTTCTGCTAGTGCTTCTCATTAAATAATGAAGAGGACATGTTTTGACTGGTAAAGAATACCAAAATGTGCCAAACTGTAGCCCTGAAGCTTATAAAATTAAAGCAGATGAGTTTAGAAAAGTCTAATCCTAGCAAATAAAAACAGCATTTGAAAATTACTTGCAATGACCAATTACTACTAGAGAGGACTATAACGTTCCAATATTGTATCTGTTTATATATTCCAGGCTAGAAAACAGTAAGCATAATAGATTTTAAATGAATGAATGAATATATTGGTACCGAGAATTACACGACACAGTGTTCGTTCACTGCACCTGAGATGAGTAGTCAGAAGGAACCCCCCCCGCCCCCCCCAATAGCATATATTAGAAGGCAATCTCCAAATACGAAAGCTAGAAAAGTACGCACATAGTCAAGAGACAAGCTGGTGGGTTGGATGGGTAACAGACCATTTCATTTCGGAGTATACTCTGTGTTATAGTAACCTAGAAACACCCCCTGAAGTCTTCTTTTAAATAAAACAATTGTTTAGCTTCATTAGCACAGGATGTCTGGCGGGATCTTTGGGTTCCTTTACGGAACTACTATCTGTATGAACCTGAGGTTACTCAGGAACGATGGAAGAGCCACTAGGAGGGGCAGGGGGAGCGTGGCAGTACAACCTGGAAACTCATCAAGGCCACTGAGCGGCACATGGAGAAAACTGTTGCTTTGGTGCACGCTCTGTGGGGATGTTCTCAACAACAATAAAAATGCAATGAATTACTTTCAAAGTTAGACCCAACTGTCTATAGTGAGAGAAAATCTGGCAATGAGTATCAATGAGGAGTGCAAACAGGAGCCTGGTCACTGAAATTCACACGTGGAAAATGTCACACTCTTAAATGTATTGTGCGCTTGTTTCTGCAATGAAAAATATCAGACACGCCCACAGCAAGGGTTTCAGGACACAGAGGCTGTAGTTAGGGTTAAGTGCTTTTCATCTAGTTGGACATGTAATTATTTAAGCGGATTTTGATAAACATTTTAGAATTCTGCATGTTGTCTTGGACAGAAGTGGTAGTGGGATGTGCTTTGTTTTCCTATAGAAGGAGATGATAACGGTCAATGACAAAAAACCCCCAAAAGCTGTAAACATTTTGAAGAGTGAGCGATGTAGGAGAAGCGTCCCCTTTGCACTTTGAGGGCTCAGAGATAGTCAGCCACATTCTCTGGAATTCCTCTCATTTCTTCCCTACCCTGCCCTCTGTGGCCACATCACTCCACTAATCCCAGATCTCTCCTGGGGTTGTCAGGTGCTGTGGAGTCAGTTCCCACTCATAGCATCATAGCAACCCTCTCTACAACAGAAGGAAGCGCCGCTCAGCTCAGCCCTGCACCATCCGTACACCTGTTATGTTACAGAGCTTACTGCTACTGCCAATATGCTAATCCATCTCCTTGGCGGGGGGTGTGAGGGGTTGGGGGGGTGGGTGTCTTATTCTTTTCACTGACCCTGCACCAGGCAGGATGTCCTTCTCTTCAGGGACTGGGCCCTCCTGGTAACATGCCCGAAGAGTGAGAGACGAAGTCTCACCATTGGTGTTTCTAAGGGGCATTCTCCAGGAGTCTTGGTGTGACGCTGTAGGATAAGCCCTGGACTGCTAACCACAATGCTGGTGTTTGTTGGCAGCCCTATACAGGGTACTATGAGCTGGAACCAACTGGACTGTACTAACAACTACAAGGGGTATTCTGGCTGTACTTCTTCCAGTTAGATCTGTTTGTTCTTCCTCCTGGGGAAGAACCATGAAATCCACCTTTAACATGCTAGAATGGTGTGGCACTGCAGGGTAAGCACTGGACTGTAAGTCTGGTTTCAGCCATTGGGTTGTTAGTTCAAACTCACCAGCCACTCCTGAGAAACCCTATACAAGGTTGCTATGAACCAGAACCTACTCTACAGCACTTAACAACAACTTTGAATTCACTCACTTGTCCCCAAATTATTGCTTCATGAGATATTGATGTTCTAGATGGAAGTGTCACAAAGATACATATAGTAAAAAAGAAAGAGAAAAGGCAGTAACTTGTCTAACCCACAAAGGGGTAATAAAAGGCTAAAAGATACACATTTCATATTAACACCTCCCAGACCCCTCTGGAAGCCCTGAAACAGAGAATCCTGAAGAAGGGCAGGGCTTAAAATAAAGGAAATTTCCAGACACAGAAACATCAATTTACCAGATATTTTGGGGATGTGGGAGTGGTTACACATGGCCCAGTAACAGCTCTGGTTATTCCTCTATTAGCAACATCTCCAAGAAACTGTGTAAAAACAATACCAAATCCACTGCCACTGAGTCAATGCTGATTCACAGAGACCCTATATTGAGTTTCATGAGGCTGCAAATCTTTTTGGGAGAAGACAACCTCATCTTTCCCCCACAGAGTGGCTGGTGGGTTTGAACTGTCAGTCCAACGCTTGACCAACAGCACCACCAACAAACTCCTTCTAGAAGTATATTATACAAATGTTTTCTTATCATCAGTAAATATTTACTTTGACTTTCAGTATATTTAGTAATTAGTACAGTAGACGGATATTCTTTGTTTAAATATTTTATATGAACTACAAAATCAATTTTTTTTTCCCTTCCTTATAATGAGCTCTGGTAGTGTAGTGGTTATGAATTGGGCTGCTAACCTCAGGGTCAGCAGTTTGAAACTACCAACTGTTCTGTGGAAGAAAGATGAGGCTTTCTGTTCCTGTAAAGATTTACAGCCTCGGAAACCCTGTACAGGGTCACTACGAGTAAGAATCGACCCCAACGGCACATAACCATCGCCACCACCATAGTGTCTAAAAGTGCAGAACACATTTGGCAAAGTGAGGAAATACAAGAAACAAAAAACTTTCTCTGTGAAAACTCTTGATATGATCAGCTGCCAACCCAGTTAGTTGTCTGGGATACTGTGTAGGGCAAAGGCCCGCACTTGAGTCTGTCTTTGCTTTACCATTAATCAGGGAACTTTAAGAAGTTAAAACAAGTTTTGATCATCATGTCAATTATGAAAACCAGCTTATTTGTTCTCACCTCAGTACTGTCTAAACACAGTAATTTATAGATTTTCGAAGAGCATCGTCCTTTCTGTTCTTTTTTAAGTATGGACAGATGTTGAAACTGACTAGGAGTCATCTATGGAACCACAGCTAGTAAGTACATCACTACAGTTAGGTCAGTCGTTGTCACTACTAGGGACTGAAAACTCTTTTCATTTGCTCATGTTCTGTTGCAAGTTTATGAAGAAAGCCCAATATTATATGAGGCCCCCACCCCCACCCCATGTAGCTGATTCACTTTTCAGTAGAAATGATTATTATTATTATTTTTAGCCACAGCCTTCCCTCCCTGTCTGAGTGACCAGAACAGATTTTCCTGGCTACTAATGGGCAGAATCACCCAACACTTGACAGTATCTGTCAGGATCAGTATTTCCTAAACTCAGGTCTAAGAGCCCACCGAGATACAGCATTCAACACTGGAAAGGCCTCTTCAAGAATCTGTAGATTGTGTTTTCATTTTAATGACAATCTCAAAGAGACCTCCTAGGTCATTCAAATAATCCCCTGGCAGCCAAATTAGAGCCTTGGGATCTCGCTGCCAGCGCATGTGTGTGTTTACGACAGTGAGACTGTCTGGTGCCAAGCAGCGTCCACTGTCAAGGGGCTAATGAGGACTAGCAGCGTGGTTAACCTCTTAGTTAAAGGTGCACTCTTTAAGGCTGGACAGCCACTTGGTATGCTGCATGGATGAAGGTTGTGTGGGAACTGCAGGTAAGAGTAAGCACCACAGGATGCAGGGATATTGGAAGGTCACACGCAGCTGTGTCCCCTCGCGAGGCGGCATGAGATTCCCCGGCACACTGACGTCTATTTGAATATCAGTGGTTTTTGAGCTGGCGTTACATTGTTTTATGGCTGGGCACAAGTTACAGGCATAAAGAGTTTTACTTTGGGTTTATGTTTGTATCTTCTAAAGCAGACAACATGATAATAAAACACAGCTGAAGACAGTTCTAGGGGACTATGAGGAATCACTTCTAACAGGACTGCATGTCCTATTTAAGGCTGCGAGGCCCCAAGAGAAACCATCCATTTTGCATTCACACTGTGTTCTTTGTGGGAATGAGCCTCCGCCTTTAAGAGTTCAAACTGCTCCTGCAGGTAGATGAACGGAAACCAGCTGGCGGCGTCCTCTCATAACTTAGGCACAAGGCAGGCCATCAAAAGGGCCACACTGACACATGGGCAAAGTTCAAAGGGGGAGAACTAATGACTCACTCTCAGGTTCCACTGCATAGAAAGGAACCAGAGAGGAAGACAATCCCCGACACCTCCTACAACTGTGCCTGTTGTGGGCACAGGCCATCTTCATTGTGAAAACCATGTCGTGGATTTTCCAGCCTCTTGATCTTGTTCAAGGCAAGTAGGAATTGACAGGACATTGGAAATGAACTTTACCTAAAACTCAATTTTCACACGGGCCACCTATAGACTAGACCAAAGAGCATGCCTTACACAGTCTGCTGAAGAGATGTTTTCTTTTCTTGCACTTTGTGTTTGGTATACATTGCTAGGACATGGATATGAGAGCGTGTGTGTGTGTGTGTGTGTGTGTGTGTGTGTGTGTGAACAACACTGTGTTTTGCTTCTTAAAACAAGTATTTTGTAATTTACATAAAAACAGTCTGAAGGCAACAAACAGCAGGGATGCCGTGCTGGTCTCCCTGAAAAGCATTCTGCAGTGAAAGAGGCAAACGGCAACTTCTCGGAAAGGATAAAACGGTCCCATTCCCCACTCCCCTACACCCTCAATGACTTGTTTGTCAACTGTCTAAAAACTTCCGTCTAAGGGGGTGGGGAGGGGGCATCGAGAATAAGCATTACTCACCCATGGGCCAGTTGTCATACACATGCTTTGCGATGTCAGAAGCTGAGTCATTAGGGGAAAACAGGAATTCTTTTGTCTTCCCGCTTACCAAGATAAGGCGCAAATTTATCTGGGGAAGAAAAAATGAAATGATGCCTTTAATAAACATCTTGGAATTTTAAAGTAAAAAAAAGATTCACAGGCTTTCTTATTGCAATCATTAACCATATCGTCATTTATTGCTAATGTCAACCTGATTGCTTTTACTAAATTAGAATCTGTCAAGTTTTGTTTAGAATGGAAATTTACTTAGGATTTTAGTATACAAAAAATTATACTATGGTAAGCCAAAAAGCCTTGCTACAAAGTCTCAGAAACCTTCAATCAACACAAATATGAAACTGTGAAGTTACTGTTTGTTTCTCTGTCCTCAAACTGGGTCTGCACATGTCGGGAGGTAATGTTTCCATCTCTCTAACCCTCCCCTGAAGAACTGTGTGCTCTTCCACTTACATCAGGTTCCAAACGCCAGTTTTGGCAACCTTGAGGGAGTCAAATTGTGTTCCTTTGAAATGTTCTTTGAGTTCAGGGAACAAAACAGAAGTCTGAAGGAGCAAGAACAGGGCTGAAGGGTAGATGGGATAAGGTTTCTCAAGGAAATTTTCTTAAGACAGCCCTTGAAAAATGAGCAGGTGCACTGTCAGGATGGGGAGAAAAAAACAGTTCTCAGAGTAACTTTCCTGTCCTTGTTCTCACTAAATTTCTTAAAACTTCTTCATGAGATGCCCCGGAACTGGCTTATGGCCTATGAGAAAATCTATTAAGATTATCCCTTTGGAATCCCATAATTTTCTGAGCTTCTCTTGGAATTTTAACTGGTCCAGCAGATGCCCTTGCAAGCCATTGTTTCGATTGGACCTTTTTTTTCCTTAAGGTACCCTACCGAGACTAAGTCAATACATTCCTGAGAGAACTTGTCTGCAGGCTCCACTGCGCCCAGAGACGTGCTTACAGGTTTCTGTTTAAAAGAACCCCATGGATACATGAACGGGAACCCTAGTTGCTTACCCTCCCTCATATATACATACACAGGTCATATCAACCGAACAGAAGAAAACAAAAATGCCTATGCTTCTCATTTCAACTCCCTAAAGAGTGTTCGGAGTCCTGGGGTGGTGCTGTGGGTTAATGAAGGCGTCAGAATGCAAAGCCGTTTGAACTGCAAGGTCGGTGGTTCAAGCTCAGCAGCTGCTCCTTGGAAACCCTACACAGGATTGCTATGGGTCGGAATTGACTCGATGGCACTTAACAACAACAACAACAACGAGTGTTCAGAACTGGGCTTCTTAGGTTTAACTATTACCATAAAATACAAATTTTCTATTTCGAAATCCTCTTCACTAAAAAGATAAAAAGTTAGTTGGTCTTCCTCTAAAAACAAAAAGAAAACAAAAATATATATGACTTTTTGAACTAGAAAAATTCTGCCAAGCTGAAATAAGTCGAATGGCTTCTGAGGAGCCAGTAGCAGTAGTTGCTTATTTAGGGGTGGGGGGAGCAGCCATGTGACACTCACAGTAAAAACACTGAGGCGGAAGTGGACCTAAAACGTTTGAGACCCACTGGATTGACATTTGGTTAGAAGCCCTAGTGATGCTGAGGGTTAAACACTGGGCTGCTAACTACAAGGTTGGTGGTTCAAACCCACCAGCAGCTCTGCGGGAGAAAGATGAGGCTTGTCTGCCCCCGCAATAAGACTGAGTCTTGGATACCCTAAGGAACAGCTCTACATTGTGCTATCGGGTCACTATGAGTTGGAATCTGTTTGATGGCAGGAAGTTTGGAGGTTTGGGTATATAGCTGGTTGAGCTGATTCAACTCACCAGAGTTTTTGAGGCCGACACCTTTCTGGAGGCAGATGCCCGGGTATTTCTCCTATTTCTCCTGGGGACCAAGAGCTCAGCAAGCAGCCACCAGGGCTCCCGGTACTACGCATATTAATGCAGTTCCCCAAAGACCCACTTTGAAAATTTCACTTGTTGTGATCAACCTGGTACTACTTCAAAAATAAAGTGAAAAAAATCCATTTCCCCATAACTCACAGAACTGGAAACATGGGTTTCCATACCTCAGGGCCTCTGTAAATAAGACCTTTCTAAGTTTGGGGTTTGGCCCAGATGCAACAAGTGAGTCCAGAGCCTTTACACGTAAAGAACAGAGATGCCACTGTGCCAGTTTCAAATGTGCCAGATCCCAGGATACCCAAGCTCTCTTCTTCAGTTACTTTTTTTTTGTTTTTTAATATAAAAACTACCAGAAAATCTCGCAAATTCCATGGCTGATACAAGAACACACAGGGGCTTCCTGAAGGACTCACTGATCACCAGTGCCTCGCCAATTTCATAGTTTGCTGGAGATGGAAGCATGCACAGACTCAAACAATTTCTCACTCAAAGTTAACTTCAGTGGGGTTCCATCAGAGAACCTGCTTTGTTGTGGAGCTCAGTAAAAGTTTTTACAAAGACAGAAGGGAAAAACAAAACACTTTGATCCTAGGTGAAAAGCCCTTTTGATGAAGGAGGGGCTTCAAAAAGTCAGTGGAAGAATTGCATGACGGTTTCATTCCATTTGAAGCCCCTGAATCTAGTAAGGCTTTCTTGTGCCTTTCCTAAGTCAAATAAAATCACACCAAAAGCTTCAACAAGTAATATGACCCAGAAACTCTGTAAGCGCCATTTGAAAAAGCTCACGTAGCAGTAGTTTACAAAAAGTATTAAGTTGTAGGAAACCTTAGCTGAGGGTGGTGGCTCTGAACGATAAGCAATGGACTACGACACAGCTTGGTGGGGTTTGAGCCCATCAGATGCTCAGTGGGAAGAAGATGAGGATCTCTGCTCCCACAAAGATATACAGCCTCGGAAACCCTACACAGGGTCCCTGTGAGTCAGCATCAACTTGGCACGTACCAACCATGACCCACTGCTGACTCTTCAAGCAAGGAACCCAACATCCAGAACAAGACATACAGAGCTACGCTCTTTGTGTAGGAAGAGAAAATATGTATGGACAAAAGAAAGCGTAAAGTCTATCTACAAGGGGGCTTCAAAAAGGTCATGGAAAAATGGTATTGTCTTGTCATTCCGTTCTTCCATGGACTTTTTGGAGCCTCCTTGTATATGCTCTGAACGTACAGAGAATCTTTTCCAAGCTACCTTCTAAGGGCCCTTCAGTCTTGAGGGTCCAAGAATTCACGCCCCTCACCATAGTTCAGCCATGTATGTTTTGTTCACCAGAAAGCAACACTGATCATGACAGTTGCACACAATGGAAAATAACAGCACTGAACAGAGGAAGCTGACTGCAACCCTCCAGCCTGGACACCAGATGCCCTCCACACAGACCTGCTGACCGACTAGCACAGCACTTTCTTGTTTCAGGGCGGTCAGGGCAGGTGTGGACTGAAGTCGGAGTGATGTCTCCCTTCAGCCTTGGGGCTCTGAGCGTTCTAGTGCACAGAGAGGGCAGCAGGCAGAGCAGGAGTGGACACAGGTCACCGCATGGATGTGTGGCCTGTCCAGGGCCCTCAGTCTTTAATCTGCTAGACTCAGGGGCTCTCCCAGCAGCAACACACCACAGCTTGAAGGAGCTCTGGTAGAATAGTGGTTACTGAGTCGGGCTGCTAACCTCAGGGTCAGCAGCTCGAAATCACCAGTGGGAGAAAGATGAGGCTTTCTGCTCCTGTAAAGATTCACAGCCTCAGAAACCCTATGCAGGGTTATTATGAGACAGAAGCGACTCCACGGTACACCACCACCACCACCACCATGTCTATCTTGGCTTATATTTTAAAAATTGCAGTGGAAGATGAACAACATTTTCCAAAAAGCCATTGCATTACAACTGGCACTTAATCTAGACTTGGTTGGTGATTTATTTTAAGCCATGCTTAACGACCCTGGTATAGGGCTTCTGAGCCTATATATCCTTCCGGCAGTAGAAAGCCTCATCTTTCTCCCTCGGAGAGACTGGTAAATGCCAACTTGTAACCCACTGAGCTACCAGGGCTCCGTGTATGGGAGGGCACATGAACAAGAGGGGAACAATCAACACAGCCAGCCATGCATCGAGTGGTTCACTGTACTTCAGGCTCTGCAGTAGCCCCTAGCCCCTCTCTGAAGGAGCACTGATGGCCCAATGGCTAACAACTCGGCTAGAAATCAAAAGGTTGACAGTTCAAACCCATCCATCGGCTCCTCGGGAGAAAAGACCTGCTGATCTGCTCCTTTACAGATGACAGCCTAGGAACCCCTGTGGGGCAGTCCCTTGGGGTTTCTGTGAGGTGTAATTGACTAATGGGTTTGTTTAGCACCTCTCTGAAGCGGTGGGGTGAGAAAGAGTTGAGAGATATTTGACAACATGCTCGTCAGGGGGTAGGTTGAGATTTGAACACAGGTCTGTTGAAAACCAAGCACATGCCGTCTACCACTCAGCTAGCGGGCAGCAGGAACCAATCTCCCCCTGCCCCTCACCCAATGAGCTCCAATCACATGCCCCCTCCTTTAAGTTCCTCAAAATGGCCAAGTTCTTCCTTGTCTCGGGGGCCTTTACACATAATGTGCTTTCTGCCAGGAAAGTCTGTTCCCCTCAACCAACCCCAATCCCCCTTGGATGAGATCATGAAACAGAACTTTTAACCAAAATGTAGGAAAATCACGTCAAACTGGTTCTGGAGAAGATAAGCGAGCCTTGTCATTTCCCATGGACTGGAGTGACGGTCATATCTGGGAAGGCATTAGATATTCTAGGGCATCATGAAAACAGCTTTCTACTTCTCAGTAAAGGCAGTTGAATTCTGTCTGTGGGGCGGGCACTGAGATCTGCTAAATGGACTGAAGTTACTGGGATCTTTTCCTACATTGTGTTTTTTGGCATTTAGCATGATGCTGACTTTAATACATACTGGATCTTCATAGGGTGAACGCCCCATGGGAGTCGGTATTTCCAACTGTAGATGTGTTGCCCAGTCCTGAGAGCTGCGTAAAGGGCAGGGCAGGGAATCCTCCCGTGTTAAACTTGAACCCAAGTAAGACGTGAACAACCTCGCAGCTTCCTTTTACTTGGAATGTGAATTTCTAGAACATTGAGCTCCTTTTAAAATTTTAAATTGCAGATTACATTCCCAAACAACGTTTTAATACTTTTTAAATTATATGAACCATTCAACTATTTATAAATTAAATTACTTTTTGAGTGCTGAGCATGAACTAGAAGCTATTGGGATTATAAAGATGAACTAATAACAGTGTGTTAGTCTACTTGGCTTCTACACAGATTGATTTTATTTTACTTTTTCATCAGGGAAGAAACGAAAGAAAACTTTGGGTTCTTGTAAGTACATTTCAGAATCAAATTATACAGAATTTGTAAAGCATTTAGTGCCTGGCACACAGTGGCTACCTAAATGATTATTATGAAGGATCACAATCACTGCACACCAGCTCTAAATGCACCCCTCCGAAATACTTTCCAGTGTACATTTGCTTTAAAATAAGGCTGGGAAATGCTGCTAAAATTCCATGAGAAACTGGCACTCTAGTTTCTTGAGAATTCTGACAAACTAAAGGAGCCCTGGTGGCACAAGGTTGGTGGTTCAAACCCAATGGCGCTCCCCACGAGAAAGATGAGGCCATCTGCTCTGCAAAGATTTACAGTCTCAGAAGCCCTAAAGGCAGTTCTATTCGGTCCTTTACAGTCCCTGTGAGTCGGAATCAAGTTGTTGGCAGTGGGTTTGTTTTGTTTCTCTTTAGTCTTAAAATCATTTTTTCCCCATGAAGCGCTCTTGCACACTAAGAATCCACGTTAGTTCTGAATTCAGGTATGGCTGGTTAAAGCTGTCCCTTGAGAACCTGCATGTAGAATTCACCTTGGCTACATCAGCCATAGGACAACAGGCAGCATGGGGCGGTTTCCTATACATCCTGCCAACTCCCCAGCAGTCTGAATGAAAGCACAGCGCTCCCTCTGGGGCTCTGGGTCCGTATCTAGGGAAACCTTTGTTTTGAAGAGGAGTTTTAGGTCTCATGACTCACTCAATGAACAACAAGTTCAGTACAACTGGTTCTCTCAACCAAGCAGGGATGAAGCCAGAGATGAGAGACAAGGAGCTAACGGGAAAGCAATAGAAGGGTGTTGGCGGGAAGCTTTCTCTTCCCCACTCATGTTCTTATAGACTTCACAATGATGATCATTTCTTTCCTCTGCCCATCTCCCATCAGTAAAACATGAAGGTGGAAGTTTTTAGCTAAGACAGAGTGAAAACAGTGGAGAAGGAAGCCCAGAACATTTACTGAACACCTACTGTGTTCCACACGTCTTCCGTACACAGCCTCATTTGATTCAGCTCTGCTGTTGGGCTATGTGCCGTCAAGTTGGTTCTGACGCACAGTGATCCAGTGACCATACGGGGAGCAGTCCAGTGATGATCCTAGAGTGCCACATCAGGACTCCAGCTCTAGCAAGGGCTTTTATTAGAATGAGGATGCCTGATTGGGCAGCTAACTGGAAGGTCAGAGGTTCACATCCACCAGCTGCTTCTGTGGGAGCAAGACCAGTCTATTGGGGGGAGCTGTACTCAGTGCCTCAGGGCTGCGACGAGTGGGCACCAACGATGGCAGTGGGTGGGCAGAGTCCTTCTCACTCTTGTCTCGGCTTGTTGGCATCCCTCACACATTAGGGTGCACAAGGGGGCCTACACGACAGCGATCAAGGTGGTTCCACCCAACACAAGGCCCTCGTGGCTACAGAAGTCACAGCGGTGATCAAAGGCAGCCCCAGGACTCTGGGCTGGCATTCGGCCACCTCAGAAGGTGGACAGGTCAGGGAAACGAACTCTGTTCACTTGGTTCACTGGTGTGGAGACACATCTGACTGGTGATCGGAAGGTCCCCATCGTCCCATGCCATATGTGTCATCTTCAGAAATGTCGAGCTGTAAGTGAATAGACCAGCTGCACCTTCTGGGGTGGTGCTGGTGTACCGTGGAGTTGGTTCTAACCCATAGTGACACTGCACAGGGTTTCCGAGGCTGTAAGTCTTTAGGGAGCCAAAGGGCTTATCTTTCTCCAGCGGACCAGCTGGTAGTTTCGAACAGCTGACCTTGCGGTTCGCAGCCCGATTCGTAACCTCTATGCTACCAGAGCTCCTTCACAAAATTGGTTTGAACCACAAGGTCAGGGGTTCAAACTCACCAGCCAGCCACTCCTCGGAAACCTTACACAGGGTCGCTATGAGTCTGAACATGCTTGACGGCACTTAGCAAGGACAAGTTGGAATCAACTTGACGGTGGGTTTTTTTGTTTGTTTGTTTTCATTCTTGTTGTTAGGTGGTGTGGAATCGTTTCTAACTCACTGAGACCCTCAGTACAACAGAAAGGAACACTGCTCACTCCTGTGCCAGCCTTATAACTGTTGTGCTGCTTGGAGCTCATTGTTGCAGCCTTCCTCCTTTTTACTGACCCTCCAATTTACCAAGCATGGTTCCTGCTGACAACACGTCAAAGAACGAGAGATGAAGTCCAGCCATCCTCACTTCTAAGGAACATGCTGTACTTCTCCTGAGACTAATTTGTTCTTCCGGCAGTCCAAGGAATAGTCAGTATTTTTTGCTGACACGATAATTAAAATGCATCCGTTTCTCTCTGGGTTTTCTTTTGCATGCATATGGGTCAGGAGCACCTTAGTCTTCAATGGGACATCTTTGCATTTTAACACCTTGGAGATCTGCAGATATGCCCAATGCAATAGTCATTTGATTTCCTGACTGCTGTTTTCATGGTTGTTGATTATGGATTCAAGTAAAATGAAACCCAACAACTGCAATCGTTTCTTCACTGATCAAGATGCTGCTCACTGGTCCACTTGGGAGGATGTGAGCTTTTCATTCTGCTAAAGTGTAATCCACACATCTTCATCAATAACAGCTCACATCTTCTTCACTTTCAGGAGGCAACGTTGTGCCATCTGTATAGAGCCTTCCTCCAAACCTTTGCACCCCTGGGAGATCTGTCGTGCCCATTGGCATATGGAAAGCCCAGACCCTGAGCTAAGGGGGTGGAAAACTTGGCGGCGGACAGTGGCATGGTAGAAAACGTGATGAACATAATCAGTCTCACTGAATTGCCAGATGAAAACAGGCTGAGACTTTGTCTTATTTACTCCTCAATGAATGGCGTTGCTTTTCAGCCCTGAGAATCCCTGCAGTGAGAACATCTGCTGTACTACCTGACCACAGAACCACAGTCTCTTCTCCAGGTCACCTGTTGCTTTGGGGACCACTGTTTCTTGGTTGAACACTTGACTGCTAACTGAAAGGTTGCTTTGAGCCAGTTGCTCCACGGGAGAAAGATGAGGCTGTCTGCTCCCATAAAAACTTCGAGTCTCAGAACTCCTACGAGCCAGTTCTACTGGCCTCTCTTTAAGTTGTCCTGTTCTGTCCTGTGTTCCAAGTACGAGTTCTTTCTGGGTTTCTTCATCCATATTTCCTCCAACACTCACCTCCCCCCCCGGCCCAAGGCTCCCCTATCTGAGAGCAGAACTTGTCAGTGTATAACCACCAGCTGGCCGTTCCTCTCCCCTCAAAACCAAAGTGTAAACTTAAACTTGCTTCCTCCTAAATACCGCTTTCTGTTCTGAGAAATTTTCAGAGTCTCCCTCCCAGTCATTCTGGCTCAGAAGCTCACAGGCGTCCCTTACCTACTTTTTGTGCTCAGCTCCCCTTACCCAGTCCCTAATCTTCTAAATGCCCTCTGCTGTCATCAGGAGAGGGGCATCGGTCTGCTATACATGTGCCGGAGTCCTGGTGTGGTGCTGGACTGTAAGGTCGGTTTGCACCACAAGGTCAGTGGTTCAAGCTCTTCAGCTGCTCCTCAGAAACCCTATACAGAGTTGCTATGGGTCAGAATCGACTTGATGGCACGTAACAACAACCACACGTCCTGGTTCCTGATGGGTCCTCTGCACGAAGCATAGTAACCCTCAGAGATGGTGGTGGTGGTGGGGGTTATGTACCGTGGAGTTGGTTCTAACTCATAGTGACCCTGTACAGGGTTTCCGAAGCTATAAATCTTTACAGGAGCAGAAAGCCTCATCTTTCTCCTACGGAATAGCTGGTAGTTTCGAACTGCTGACCTTGAGGTTCGCAGCCTGACTTGTAATCACTACACTATCAGAGCTCCTTAACCATCAGAAATAGGTACTAGATTACCACCTCGGGTTATTTTTAGGGATACCCAGAGACCACACTGTTCCCCACCCAAGTTCGGGGCCAGGCAGACTGCTATCTTATCTGTATATCTCAGCCTGGCAGCAATCGGCCAAATGACTGACTGACCTCATTCTGTCCCAATGCCACCTCCATGTGGCAGGGGCTCCAGCCACACGCTGATGACTCCTTACCACTCCCGTCTGTAGTCAGTGGAAACCACAAAGATGCCATGTTGGCTGGGGCAGTTCTAGCTCATGTTTGTTGTTTCACTATTTTTAGAATCCACCCCCCACCCCACCCCAAATTAACCAAACCCAATACGTTCGATTGGATTCTAACTCCTAACAGCCCTACACAGGGTTTCCAAGACTATAAATCTTTACAGGACCAGAAAATCTCATCTTTCTACAAGGAGCGGGGCTGGTGGGTTTGAACCGACAACCTTGTGGTTAGCAGCCCAATGCCTAATCCACCGTGTCACCACGACTCCTAGCAGTGCCTCCTTTCATCTTCAAAAGTAGCTCTGTTTAGGCAATTCATTAGAAGACCAGCCTGCACAGATCACATCATTTACTGCAGAACGTAACAACTGATCTTGTCTTAACTTTCCAATAAATCAGGGTCCCCTTGTGGGCAGAGAGGAACTTAAAATGCTTTCATACGTCTCTTAGCACCAGGCAGAGTTTCTCACTTGTGTGACTGCAAAACCATTTCAGAGGTGAGGTGAGTTCCACAATGTCTATTATGTATCTCAGTGAAAATCCCATGGACACATCTAAAAGTGGGGGCGAGGGACATTCTACATGAACTGCTATGGTTAACCTCAGATACAATACCCAAAAAATACACTTTGACACCCTGTCCTGGAGTCAAGCCTGACCCTATAGGCCTAGAACCTCTGTTCCACAGGGTCCGAGACAAAGTCTTTTATGGGAGCAGACAGCCTCGTCTTTCTCCTGAAGAGCAAATGACAGATTTGAACCACTGACCTTGGGTTTAGCAGCTTAATAATGCCTAACACCAGGGCCCTGCCTGAAAAATTTGTTATTGTTGTTAAGTAATATTGAGTGGGTTTCGGTTCATTGGAACCCTCTATCGGGTTTCCAAGGAGTGGCTGGTGGGTTTGAACAGCTGACCTTGCGGTTAGCAGTCCAGTGCTTGTCCCACAGCTGTGCTTTATTAATTAGTATGTACTAAACTTGCCGGTGTGACACGGCTGGGCGGCAGCACGCTCTGCACTGAGAGGAGAGGTAAGGGCGAGCACTGGGGTCACAGAGCTGCTCTGTGCTGCTAACGGCGCTCGTCACTAAAGCGCGCAGTCATGACCACCATTGACTGGCAGAAATGGAGACGGTCATCATCAGTCAGTGCATCTTCTCAACAACCCAATACACAAAACTCTGCACCTCTTCTAAATGAAAGTACGCTAATCAACATATTGCTGCATTGTGAAGTGCCGTGGAGCTGGTTCTGACTCACAGCAAACCCATATGGTGCTTCTAGGAGCGGCTGGTGGCTTTGAACTGCCAACTTTGTGGTTAGCAGTCCAGCACGTATCCTGTAACACACCAGGATTCTAACATATCATTGGTGCACAGTTCTTGGAAATCAGTGCATCAAATCATTCATCCAAACAACACAAAGCCCGAGGGTCCTCCCACGTTATCTGTTCAGTTGGAAGCCCAGCATTATCTCAATATCGCATCACGACAAGGACAGCAACACAAACAGGGCAGCTGGCAGCAGAAGGGGAAACAGAACTGCAGATACTAAAGGGCAAGTTCAAACTCCAAAGGAACGGGGCTGTGAAAGCTATACTGAGGAAAAGGACAGATGGTCGTGCTGGAGGTCCGCGTTCCAGGGCTCACTGCACAGCGCTCCGAGGGCATCCTATGGAATAGCATGCATTGGTCTATGTGCATTCCTATCTTCTTCAGAAGAGCCCTGGTGGCAAAGCAGGTTAAGCACTGGGCTGTCAACTACCAGGTAGGCAGTTCAAACACACCAGTTGTTCCAAGAGAGAAAGATGAAGCTGTCTGCTTCCCTGAAGACTGACAGTTTCAGAAATCCAAAGGAACACTTCTGTTCAAGAGCTACGTTTGTTATGAGTTGGAATTGACTTGATGACAGTGTGATTGCTTTTTTTGGATCTTCTGTATCCCTGGTGATGCGTGGTTATAGCACCTGACTACTAACAAAAGTTGGCAGTTCAAGTTCAGCGCAGTGCTCTGTGAAGGACCAGGCCATTTGCTGCCATAGAGATGGCCATGAAGGCTGCCACATAGCGTCACTGTGAACTGGAGTCGACTGGACAGCAGAGGGTACCGATCTGCTTCTTCATAACCTCAGATGGTTGTTTAAAACTGTGAATCCTGCTGTGTAGATCTGCAGACGGAGCCCAGTGTGGTATTTGTTGACGGAGTAGACCCAGGGGCCTGGCAGCCCGAGGACTGCTCCTCTGGTACAGAGCACGCAGCTCTTTTGTGCTTGAATCCTTGTAGAACGGTCTAATCTACCTGCAGCAATCTTCCCTGCTCACAGTTACTTTGTCTCTCATGCTCTGGACATGTTGTTAGGAGGGACCAGTCC